CCTGCACCCAAGAGAGTTCCCAAGAGCCTCACCTCTACAATCACTGACCCCAACAATGCTCTCACACCACCTGTAACACACACCTGAACATAGCACACATGGGGCTACAACCATAACCCTCTCAAAGGAGCCACAGCACACAGCACCTCAGCCAGCTGACATGCTGGTCCACCACAAAGCAAGCACTAGGAAATCAGCCTATCAACATTTTCTGGAAGGCAGCCTTTTTTTTTTTTTTTTAGCTGAAAACCACACAACACAGAAAGGTGTGTTTACTGTTTGTTTTTTTGAACAGCAGCCAGTCAGCCAAGGCACCTGCACACAGCCCAAGCACACACCAATTCCAAAGGTACAACTGAAGGCCAAAAAGGACAGAAAAGCTCTCCAGTTCCTACCCTGAAGGGTTTGGGTTGGCATGGCAAAAGGAAGATCAGCAGAGCCCCAACCCCCCCTCTCAAAGTTCAAATCTGGCCCCAAGAGCAGATAAGTGGATGAGAGCAGGCTCCTTGACCTGATTTTTGAAGGGCTTTCCCTTCATGTCACTATAACCTTCCTTTTTGCTGTTTTTCATCACACAAGCTGCATGCAGGCCAGACACTCAGGTTTAGCTCCCCTGGTGCCACCACAGACCCGCGCCAGCACCAGCCCCAGTCCCTCTTCACAGCCTGCATAACTGGCCAGGCAAGGAAGGCCACCAGCAGCCTTCTCTGCAGCACTGAAGGGTTTCTTGTCCTATCTGCATAAGCAGAGCAAGGTGCCACCTTCTAGCCACTGAACTGCTGCTTTCCTAACTCTCCTTTGTCTTGACATTAGAAGACAAGACTCCTACTTCCCATGTACAAAGTCACTATTCCATATATGCTCTTAGGACTGGGGGTTTGTTAATATATATTTATCAGCTTTAGGTTCATAATGCAGACTGAAGGACTGTCACAAGACACTTGCTTACCTAAGCACCCAGGACATACAGTATTTACAGCTTAAATGAGAGCACTACCAACAGGTTCCACGTTACAACGTGCAGGAATTATCAAACACAGCAGTGCAAGAAATGGCAGGAAAAAGATGGACAGCAAAGATATTTTAAATTACATAAATATTAAGAGTCCACAAAAAGCATTCAGAGGAGTGTCACCTCTCTAACCAGCAGCCCTGGTGTCCAGCTCTCCCACTGACTTGAACCCTTCCATGTAAACACCTGCTCTGCTCCCCACAACAGGGTTATTCTACCAAGTCATTTGGTGACACACAGCTGAGAAAACGCATTTGCTGACTTCATTTATTTCCTCTTCGTTTTGTTTAGTTCTCCTTTTGCTGAACACCACACGGATTTGGGTCAAACACTGTGTTTAATCAGCATGGCAATTTTAGATTTACCAGTCCACAGCAGAGGGCAGTGACCACTGAGAACACCCCCTGGGCTCTAGAGCTGGAGATCTACAGTTCTCAACCAAGTTCCTGGGATTCTTTTCACCTCAGAATGTGCTCTAATTAAGTCTTATCATCATAAAGAGCCACTGTGACAGGTGTCAGGAACCCAGATGCCCTCCCAGCTTTGTAAGGGCAGAGGAGAGAGCCTGCCTGGTGGTGCCAGCAGGAGCAGGTTGGGCCACCAGCTGGGGGGGCTGCCAGGAACCAGCCCCACACTTACCGGTCCGTCTGCAGGACGTGGATGAGATGCTCCATGGCCTGGACTCCCACCTCCAACCTGTATTTCTGTGGGGAGAAAAACCTGAACCGTTACTGACCCAGCTCGAAGGCCAAACCGAGCAACAACAACACCCCCCAAAACTCCTACAAGCCCCTTGAGGAAGGTGAGTACTCGCCTTGGATAAGGACTTGAGGGCTCGCACGGCGTCTCTCCGGTCATCCAGCAGGGTGGAGGAAGCCACTCGGTCACACAGCTTCTGGATCTGGGGAGGGACCAGACCCGTGTCGGTGAAACACAACCCGCCCCAGCGCCCCACAAGCACCGGGGGGACCCGCTGCGTCCCCGCACCCAGGCGGGGACCCCCGTTTCCCC